AATTTTGTGGCTGAAATTAAGCTAACTGGAAAGATTAAACAAAAAGAAGAACAAATGGCCAAAAATTTAGCCAAAAATAAAAAGAATTGATTGAAAATTGAATTAAGGGCTAAGATTTATCCAAATTAAGGTTGGAGATAAGGTCAAAAAGCCCACAAAATTTTCCTATAAATAGGGGTGCTGGAAAAATTAAAAAGGAAAGGAAAATTGAAAAACACAAAGGAAACTCTTGCAAAATTTCCAATCAAAAACTACCCAAAATAATTCTAACCAATTTTAGACCTTTCAAATCAGTGGATTAAGCTTTAATTTCAAGGTTGGAGGCTGAATACCCTCAAGGAGAAAATTAAAAGAGCTAATTCAAATTTAGGGGGAGAAAGGAGAGGAAGAGAATTTTCAAGCAACCTACCTTTCAAGGTTAAGTTGGAGCTTAATCAAGTAAGTTAACCTCACCTACACCACAAGCATGCTTAATTTCAAGTTAATTTCATGTATAATTGCTTGATTGGATTTAATTGGTCAATTAAGAAAAATTAGGGTTAGGGTTCTTGATGAACAAAATTTGGGGGTTTCGAATTCTTTCATGTAATTAGTATTTTGGCACTTGATTCTGACTTATTTGAGTATGAATTAATTTTTAGGGATGAAAAATTATACTTTAATTGAAGAAAAATCCACTAATTTTTAGAAATTATATTTGGCCTAAACTAAACAAATTAGGATTTGAGTTCAAAGCAATTTGATTCTGATTTGATGGGTCATTCACACTTGAATAAGCATGTCTTGATGAGTAGAAATGGAAAAATTGCTAAAAATTGAAGAAAATAGGGTATATGGGCTTAGGCCTAATTTCGGCCCATTAAGGCCCAATACGGGTTTGGATAAAATTTCGGGTCCTAAATTTTAATTAAATTAATTTCTATAGTTTTTACATATCTAGGCTACCTCGTATTAACATGGTGGGACAAAATGAGGAGAAAATGTTAAGATTTTAAAGAGGTCAAATTTAGGCCTAAATGGGAATTTTGGAGAATTAGGTTTAAACCAAGTTTTAAACCTTAAATTTGATGATTCAGACTCAAACATAGTAAAAGGATGGTTTAGAATGAAAAGGGCTCATAAAAATTTAAAGAAAAAATTGGGTTAGGAAAAATTGGGTCTTAGGCCTATTAAGGCCCAAACCAAAATTGAACCTCTTAAATCAATAAAATAATACCTAGTTAGGTTGAAATATGAAATGATACTTATTTTGGTAAAGACCAAATATGGAAAGATAATTAAGAACCTAAGGAAAAAAATTAGGAAAGTAAAGTGAAAGGTAAGTTTAATGAACAAAGAAATGGAACAAAAATGTTAATCTTCCTTTATGTTATGGTTATATTCTTTCAAATGCTATATGAATGCATTAGGTTATGAATAATGGTTATGCTTAAATATGATTGATGATGAGAATTGGGTTATGATGATTGATGTGTTAATGATGGATGTGTTGGTTTATATTGGATTGATGTTATCTATGTCGTTATACTTGCTCAATTTTATATCAATTCTTATGACTTGGTTACATAACTATTCTAAATAAGCATTCATGAATTCATACAACTTGTCTGGTTCATTGCAAATTGCATACGCATGCTTAGCTCATGAACAATGGTTTAAGTCATGGAAATATATTTTATGTCATGGTTATCCGATAGCAATCGGAATGATTTTAAAGGAAAAGATTTCCATGACTTTAAGGTTTTGAAGAAAGGACTTTAAGAGTTTTCCATACGAGTGATGGTAATGATTCGGGATCGGACAAGTGCGGACATGCACTTTTAGAGGCTCGGTAGGGCGCGTCCGTGGACGAGTCCGGTTCGCCGTAAATATGTTATGAAAACCTTGAAGTACCTAAATAAGACATGTCCAAAGACAAAAAAAAAGGATTTTCGATCGTTTATGAGATATTTTTAACATGAGAAAAAAGGATTTCTTACATGTATCTACATGCACGCACACTACATGCATACGTTAACTTACCTGGGTTGTAGCTCATATAGTTCCTTATGGTGTAGATAAATAAGATACTATGGCTTACTTCTCTACGAAGCCGATTTCGAGGAATGCACTAGATGGTTATGCTTTAGATGGGGCTTTGGGATCCAAGTGGACATACTACATGCGATTTTATTTACGAGTGCTAGCTATTGGCTTGCATGTTTTAGAATTAGTCGAACTGTGTTATATTATATTAGAAGCAATGAACAAGTAAGTGTAGTACTTTAAAATAATTTAGTTAGAACCGAAATACTGATCGTAAAATGATAGTGTATCGATAATAGTGTAGTTACTTTAAATTATCCATTGCATGCTAGAATCCTTGACTATTTAAGAGAATTTCTTAATTAATCGTTAAATAAAGAGAATAGTAAATATGAAAGAGAATAAGTAATATAATAATAATTGATAATAAGGAATTGCATCTTAATAAATTATAACGGTTAGTAAAGAAAGGATTTGAACTAGCAAATAACCTCGAATCCGAGTTCCAAGTATTCGAGTAAATAGGTCAAATGTGAAAAATTTATAACATCTTTTAAGTTAAAGTATAGGACTTACCTAACCACTATTAAATTTCTAAGATATAGATTTCACTCTAGACATTGAAGTCATAGTGCCTTGTAAGCTTGCATTCATTTTACTTCAAATGTAGGTTAACGACGGTAATATTCTCGGTCTTTTAAGTCCTAGGTTGGGGGTGTTACGAGCATCAACATCGGTAACCTTTGCTATATTAGCAAACTCAAAATTTTGACCATGTGGTTTCTCCTTCTTCTTCGAGTAGGATAATCCGATTTATAATGTCCTTTCTTGTGACGGTAGTAGCACTTAATATTTTTTTCTTATCCTGGAGTGATGGAATTTCGATCTTCTTTTATATCCCTCTCTATCCTTTTATCTTTCCCTTACTAGTAAACCATCGGACTAACTATCAACGGTTTTACCATTCAGCTTATGTCTCGGCTCAGTGAGAATTCAAAGAGGCCTTAACATTCTCTAAAGTTATGGACTCTCTACCATACAATATTGAATTAATAAAATTCTCATACGAAGTAGGTAATGAACACAATACAATAAGGTCTTAATCTTTATTAAGTTTAATATCGAAAATTTTTATAACCATAACAATCTTATTGAATTCATCAAGGTGTTCATGAATACCTTCTCGCATCTTTAGTGTATAAAGATGATGCTTCAAATACAATCTTATTGTAAGAGATTTCTTCATGTAGAGGCTTTCTAACTTATTCCACAGATCCCGTCATTGTCTCTTCATCTACGACTTCTCGCAGTACCTTTTCCGACAATGATAATTGTAGAGCACTATGAGCCTTCTCATCTATCTTTTCAATTTAGGTAGAAGCCATGTCATTTGGGTATATACCCTCAATTACCTTGATAGATCTTTTATGTCATAGCAAAGCTTTTATCTTTATTCTTTATAGGCCAAAATTATTTTTATCATCAAAAGACGAAACATCAAATTTCGGAGCTACTATTACGAACGAGAAAAACCCAAAGATGCGCAACCTACGTTCGATACTAGTTTGTTATGACAAATAGCGAAAACAAGACAAGTAATGACGAGATAATAACCAAAAGAGAAAGTTAAACAAATTACCAACACATAGGATTTACGTGGTTCGACAAATTGCCTACTCCACGAGCGAGAGGGAAGTTTTATTGGCTTGATAATAAGAGAATCTAAAAACCCCGGAGGCTCAATATAAAGTTTCTATCTTTCACTCTATTTCTTAAACAAAGACAAAAAAATGTTTAAATACCATATATTTATAAAGAAAAAAACCTAATGGGCTAAATATATTATTGAAAAAAGCATAATGGACTAAATATATTATTAGCCCATAAAATTCAAGCCATATATGACAAATCTCCACCTTGGCTTGAATTACGCAAACCTTCAAGAATGTTAAATAATTCCTCAAAACACACCTCTAAGCTTACATGAAATTCAACTCGGTTTCGATCATCAACTAACATATTCGGAACAAAAGATAGAAAGTGCAATAATAAAAAAAAAAAAAAATACAAGGTGGAAAATGTAAGGTTCTCAAAATAGAGTGCAAAGTGAAATAGCATGCAAAATAAAGAGTGGTAATGGTAATCAACACTTATCTAAAACATTTTTTTTTTGTAAATTACATATTATTGGCATACAAACCTTTGGGCCAATTCAATGAGGCTTGAATTAGAGCGATTGAAGATCTGCAATGAATTACTTGAGGACGGTTTGTCTGATGAGATTTTTGGAATTGGACTATCTTTGTTGGAAATACGTTTAGCATTTAATGCCTCTTGATCTGGTGCAGCTGTTAAGGAGAAAATATTTAATTTCTCCCCTAAAACAACCTTTTTAGCGGAAATACCATGTTGTTGAGCTTTCTTTCCTGACATAGTCAACATCGTTAGTCCTCGGAGAAGATTTTTCGGTTGCCATCGTGGTGGAGGCTGACTCTTGCTACGTATCCTGGACTGTGCATTCTCAATAATCCCACCAATTTGATATGCCTTCAGTTTGTTGGAAAAACACAAGTTTCATAAGATGCCCTTCAGCTTCATGAACAAATGTGAGATTACAAAATTATCGGCGTGGCTAAACTAGCTACAAAAGAGGGGGAGTTTATGGGCCTTTTTAACATCCATCTCCACATGAATTTTAAATATACTCCCTTGATCTCCGCTTACGCCATAGATTTCTGATTCCAGGACAGTCCAAATCTTCGTACCAAGCTTCCTTCCCATCTTCTTAGTACGACAGTATAAGGGTAGTCGCCATATCTGAATCTAGAAAGTCACAATTTGGAAGTCTTGTGCTGTAAATACCTTGTCACGCTCCCATCTTCTTAAAACCAATAGGTTGTTCTTAAACAGCCAGGGCTCCCCTTTAAGATTCTTAACTAAAAAGGAATTAAAAGCATCCATCACCATAATCCTGCATGGGTAGGCCTTCCGGACGCCTCCATACAATCAATGTCCATCACATCTTTGAGAATAAGTTTATTAATAGGTTTGAGACTCAAATGCAAGCTCTGAATACCAAGGGCAATATCTTCTTCATCAAAGAAGATAATATCCTCCTCCATATCATCTATATCTGATAAAATTGTTGTATCAAGATAGGTTAGTACTATATATCTCCAACTCAATCAGCTTTCTTGTTTTAACTTGATAATAGTAGTTGCTACGTAGTTGTTATTCTGTATAATTTCGATGTCAGTGTAAGTGTCAAACAACTGTGAATCAATGAATAATACATCAAAGAAATTCTCTTCAAGCCAGGATTTCTTACTTGGTATCAGAGCTTAGGTAATGGCGTCCCCTTCCAATTCTGACAAATTAAATCTTCTTGCTCCTCAGTCATTTTCTACCTCAATGTTTTCGAATTCTTTTCCTACTAGGTTTAGCTGCTGAGATTTATGATTCAGCTCACGTGAGTAAAGGCAGGGAAGTGTTTGAGCATGGTGTGCGTGGCGAATATGAAAAGTAAGTAGATTGGAGTTCATCACCTAGATATGATGTATATGATGATGACGACATTGATTCTCCGTACACTATTGATATTGGCATAAATGGTAATATTACCATCAAACATAGTAATGTAGTTAAGGAGAAGGTCAACAAACTTAAGGAGTTCGAGAGTGAGCATGTTGATTTTTATGCTGTTCAGGGAGGAGGGGTTGATTTGGTTAAGACCGAGGTTAGGCATGTTGGGGTGTATGCTGGCAAATTTGGCTATGTTGATTCGGGCAAGACCAAGGGTAAGCTGTTGTGAAGGAAGAAACCAAGGGCTATGAGGCTGTTTTGGGGGGTGCCGAGGGAGTGATTTTTGTGGTAGTTTCAGATCGTGTTTCTGTACTATATGTAAAGGAAATTGCAGATAGCTATAATGTTGCTCCTAGGTTGACTGATGTGAAAGATTTTTTAGGGTTACTCCTTCCATATAGAGCTTAACTCCAAAATATCTTTTCGAAATGCTTAGTGGAAGACCTTGCAAGCCGGTTAATCGATTCAAGAGGCCCACAGAGTTTCAAGAGGGAGACATGGCTTGAGTTCGCATACAGAACAAGTGGTTCTTCATGGGGCGATATGCTAAGTTCAAGGAAGTGGATGGACCATTTCTTGTCTTGGAAAGAGTTGAAGAGAACTCTTGTAAGAGCTTTTGAGAAACTACTTGGTGCTATATTCAGTATAGCTAACCTTGCATTATATTCGGATGATGAGGAATACCAGCCTAAGACATCGAGAATGAGTCTTTTTCAACCAAGATAGCTCTTTAATCTAAGAGAATTTTCTCCATGGAGCCAAAGGATCAAGACCAAAAGAGCAAGAAGGGGGTTCGAAAGTTGTAGCGTTGAAGTGCAAATTAAGCTTTTGGCCAAAATTATGCCACTTATTTTTCCGTATTTATATCTTATTTGGGATATTTTAATTCATCCTTGCTGGATGTGAATTGTTATTTTTTATTTGGTTTTATTTTAGAGTTCACGTTTGTTGTGGATTCTTATTTAATTTGGACTAGCATTAATTAGTCCTTATTAAGCATGGATTAGACTCAAGTCTTTAGGTCCAAATAGGTTCAGGAGTTATTTAGTTTTTCTCTAGTTATATTGGCATGGCCTTGAGTTTATTTTATTAGCCCAGCCTGGTAGAATTTAGCCCTAGCTAGATAAGGGTTTCCTCTTTGTCATTTTAGACAGTTCTGTTGAATTGATAATCTAAGAGAATTTTCTCCAACTCTTTTGGCGTTATTGCATAATATAGAACGTAACTCTTATCATTAATACTAATCACTCAAGGGGGTAATTTGATCGACCTCGTGCTTAAGAATCAAAAGTGGCGGTATCTATATCTTTGGATTCTTGATGTATATATCTCTTGTAAGTCTTGATTTTTCTCAAGTAGATCTTGATTTACAATTATCATTCTTAACTGAAGCCTGATTAATATTGAATCATGTCTTGTGAGTTTTGCCTTAGTTTCAATTGTTTTAGTTGGAAGGCCCTTTGACATTGTTGATGTTTGACTAATTCTAATTATAGTTTTGTTATAATTTTAGAATTACTATACAAGTGTAGCCAGGATTTAGGCCTACACTAAGGTTTGGGCTTGTGTTGGTTGTTTGTGGGTTTTGGACGTTGTTGGTTTGTTTCAAGTTTGTGTTTAGGAAAGGATTGTGTTTGTATTGGTTTTGGATTGGTTTGTTTGTGTGATATATAAACGGAGTTGCTTGGTTCGTTGAGCTTAGAGATTCGACCAAGGAAGGAATTTTGTTTTCTTGTGTGTTTGATTACTAGGTCTTCGCATATTTGGTGTCACCCAAAATAAACGTTTGTATTCAATGTTGTTTTTCTCAAGTTTCAAAAATAATTCTCATTTCAATCTTTCCTTTCATATTCCACATGGATTCCATCCAAACAATATATATATATATATATATATATTCTATGAAAGAATTCTAACAAAATGCTCCATAGAAGAATCAAAATTGTTTGAAAATAAAAATACTCAATCTCTTAATGCTTTGTTTCTATGACAAAATGCTTGAAGATAAAATTGACAGTGACCTAATAATTAGGTGGCATTTTTTAGGTTTACCCTTTTATTTTATTTTATGATTTTTTGTCTTTGTTAAATTCTTATCAAATTTCATACATGCAATGTTATAAAAATTTATAGAGAAGGAACTACTTACATATACATACATATAAAAAAAATTAGAAAAATTATCCCCCATTAATTTTTTTATCTAATGGCTACTAATCAATAATACCTCACTCAATCTCTTTTTATTAAATGTTTTCCTTTTTTTCACTTAATTAGTCTATTCTTTATAATTTCCCTTTTCTTATAATTATCTCCTCCTTATCTTTGCTCTCACTTAAACTACAAATGGACAAATGTTGGTATTCATTGACGAAATACAAAAGTCTCACTAATTCTCAATGAATTGCGTTCCCAAATTAATCTTGTTGATTCTATTACATTTCAAACAAATTAGTCCACGTTCACATGTATTGCTACTCAACGTTCGTGGGACTCTCAAAAATTTAAAATTTATTTATTTGTTGAAAATGTTTTTTATTTGAGGATGTGAATTATTTATTAATTTCGGAGTCGGCACTTAATATTAAAGATAACTAAAAACCAAAAAATGAACACACTAGTTTAGAGATTCTAAGTAAAAAGTTAATTATGCATTTAAAAAGATATCAATCACCCCAAAAACACTATTTCTTAAGAAAATATCATGTCTAGTTTAGTGTATATATATTAGTTTTATTTTTACCTATCATTTTCTCACCTATTTTTTCTTTTTTCTCTTTTTTTCCCCTCTACTTCTTTTTTTTTTTTTTTTTCAATTTCTTCTTCTTCTTCTTTTGTTTTGATATCATTTTATCATTTTTATTTTTTTATTTATCATTTTCTTTCCTTTTTTTTCATTTTATAATTTTTTTTATATTTTTTTGTTGGTTGAGAGTTGTTATTAGTCCCTAAAAATCGGAAGACTCGACGATTCGTCCACCTATTAATTATCTCCTCTAATTATTAAAATAAAACTAAAATTAAATATTGACTAAATAAATAAATATAAGAACTCAAAAATCTAAAATATTAAATCTAAACTAAGCATAAAATAAAAGGCAAGTATTTAAAAAAAATTCAGAACAAATAAGACCAAGACGGCCTAGGGAATTGGCTAAAACTAGGGTTATTGGACCTTGGGGCCCAGTCGGCCTACTGGCCAGACTAAAAAAGACCAAGACAACAAGCCCAACCCATCCTAAACAGTAGCTAAGCCCATTATAACTAAACATACCCAACCTAAGCAAAACTAAACCCATTCAGCCCCAAATTCGTCTCTTCTCATTTTTTCCTCAACCAGATCCATCACTTTTCTGTCTTCTTCCTCGCCATTTCCTTTTCTCTTGTTATTCTTTTGTGTCAAACACCAAATCAACATACACCCGTCCTTACTAAACCTGTTTCATACCATCAAAGTCTTCTCACCCTTCATTTCAATGTGCACTGAACAGAACTCAATCAAACAGGGGGAAATGGGAGCAGTTGGGTGTTGTATGATGACAGTGATGAAATGACTGTCTTCGTCACTGTCATCATTCATTCTTGAACGAATTGGCAGAGAAATTTGGATTATTGGAGTTACAAATCATAAAAGAGGTAGAGCAGTTTACTTGGGCATTCGATTGGTGGAGCTTAGCTTGTGGTGGGTGGTTTGCAACGAACGGTCATCTTAGCTTCAAGCAGCGGAGATTTCCTCCTTCAAGAGTCCAGAATCGATCCTTGTAGACCCAGCAATCACTACTGTGAAACCCAGGCAGCTTAGGTTTCGTTTGGTGAAACCCAGAAGAAGAGATGAACAGAACCTCTTCTATTCAAAATCCCAGCAGAACCCTAACTTTCTTCCCTTCTGTTTTTTTCTGGGTTTCAAGACTATAGTGATTGAATTTCAATTACTGAAGCTAAGCTATTCTTATCCAAAACACAGAAAAGTTCTTTTGCAAACCCAGATTATTCTCTGGGTAAAACCCAAGACATACCCTTTCGGAACCCCAGAAATTCAATCCTCCTCCCCCAAAATTTCCTCCCAAAATCATCTCTTCAACCCAGAATTTGTTCTATGAACCCTGAACAAAATCAATCCCAAAGTCCCTCTCTGCCTCCAAAACCTAGCATGAACCCAATTCTGTTCCTCCCCAAAATCCTCTAAATCGTCTCCCCCCAAACCAGAGATTCGCCCTCTATTTATACCCAAAAGTGTTCCCTTCCCTGACCTGGGATCAATCCCCATTAAATCCCAGCCTTTCCCATAAAAAACAATTGCTGAGCTCCTGCAGGTTTTTGGCTCTGTGTGAACAGATCCGGAACCAAAATGCAAATTGTATGTTGTTTTTTGTGTGTGCAAGTGTTGTGTATGGCGTAGCGTGATTCTTGGCTAGTACTGCCAGCCAAGAATCGTTTCTTTTGCTGGACAGATTGTCTTCGTTGAAGACAATGATCCATAGCAGGAAGGGGGAAAACGTCTTTGCAGTTGAGTGGACGACGGGCCATTCAGACAACTTCCAAATTGGTCTTCTAGTTCGCTCGTTTCTTTAATTTTGGTCTCTGTGTGCTTGAGGTTTATCTCAATTGTACCCCTTAGGCATAGCATTTTAGTCCCTGGTTCTTTCAGTCTTGCGATTGTATCCCTAATTAATCATGCAATTTTTTTATTTTTATTTTTTTGTATTTTGTATTTTTGATTTTTTTATATTTTGTATTTTTTTTTAATGATCAATATTGAAATTAAACATTAAAAAAATAATAATAATAAAATAAAACATGATAAATAGAACCTAAAAGGGATAAAATAAATAAACCCAAATTTTGGGTTACGACAACATGCATGTTATGAATCAAATATTCACTTGTATGCATTTTTTCTTGTCTTTTCGTCATCTGTTGTGATAAAAGAGAAATAGGTAATGTTATTCAACATAAAAAATTTAAATAATCAAATAAACTTGCAATTACATTGTACATATACAGTGCTGTTAACATACAAGAAAATGTAACTCATGCATTGATTTATAGTAAGTGATTAATGGTAGAGAAATAGGTAATGTTATTTAACCAAAAAGAGTTGAGAGGAAAGTGTGATCAATAGAGGTGAAAATTAATTTGAAACACAATACAATGTACTAGTCATTAGTCATTGACGTGGTGATGCTCTGACTAAACAAGTAAACTATAAATTAGTCTTTTTAATTTTATTAAATGAATTGATTATTTTTAAAAAATTTTAAAACTATACTTTAGTTTTTTTAATCAATATTGACCACTTTTAATTTAATATAATAAAAATCCTCCACTTTCTGTCAAGCATCTCTTAAAATCTCTTTGTTAAATTCTTATCAAATTTCTTACATTTGATGTTACAAAAATTTACAAAG